TTTTTTTTTTTAAAAAAAAAAAAAAAAGCTGTCTTTTAGATTTATAGCAAAAAAGAAAGCTAAATTTCACTTACAATAAAGTCAAAAAAATTGAAGCATTCACAGGGCAGAGATGCACTTATAACTCTGGCTGAGATTCAGTTGTTTTTACTGATTTGGGTTTTTAGGTCAAAGGCTGCCGCTTTCTTTCACAGAGGATCTTTGTTCGTCTCTCAGTTCTCCATCTAGCGGGCTGCCTGGATCGATCTTCAGCAAAGATGATTGGAGAACCTCTTATCTGGAGACTCAGCAGTAGCTGACTGGTTCCTGCCCAGCATCCGACTATTTAAAATGGACTAGCCGGGGATCTGAGCTCCTCATCAGAGTCGGGACTATCGTCCATCGCCATCCCCAGAGCTCATGGAGCGCATCAGTTATGAAAGAAAATAGTTTAAACTCACTCAGGAACTAAAGCCTGTCTCTAAAATAAAATGATTTAGTTACAGAAATATAAAATAACATCTAAAAAAAAGTGAGTATCACTCCTCGGATGAATCCAAGGTCAAAAGAACAAGCGAACCAACTCCCCCAGCAAAACACTACCAGCTCCGGCGCCCCCCTCTTCATAACCATTTCATGCCATTTACTACCTAAATAATTCCACTTCATAACCATTAAGGCACCATTTCATATCTGCGTACCTAAAGGACTCTGCATCCATTTGGTTTTCTTTGCTAAAAATGTTACGCAAGGTTGCATTAATAAAGTATTGGCTTAATTTGAAATATATTCAATGACTCTTCTGGTCAATATTGTATTGATCTGTTTGGGCTGCAGTTATCGAAAAATTCTTTAACGAACCCGAGGGGGTCGGATCCGTCACTGAATAAATGATGCAATGTAGAGTTCCCCTTTAGGGCAGTGTGCATTCCGCCAAATATGAAAGACAAACATGATAAAAATATAGTTTTCCAGATGCTGCTGAAGATTCTCCGTCATCCAGGTCATAGTCATTCAAACAAAGTTTAACAATCCACTGGACTTTGTTTCCAAGTTTGAAGATGTTTTGCTTTCAATCCAGGAAGCTTTTTCTATTCAAATTTTCAATTCATTGCAACCCCAACCCCTTTCCAGCAAACTATTCCCTTTAAAGATCCCCCTTTCAGAGACTTAGACCGGTATTGGGGCATCGGAGGCAAAAGAAGCCAAATGACCCCCATTCCAAAGGAGTGGACCCGTTCGTCTGTTCCAATTTGCATGTTTTCTAAACAAAAACAAGGCTTTGCATCAAACCTCAAACTCAACGCCATTCCTGACATTTGAATTAATTTGAAACATCTTCAAACTTGGAAACAAATTCCAGTGGATTGTTTTTTTTTACTTTTTGGAATTTTTTGCCAAAAGAAAAAAACAGATATACTTGCCTAATCAGAAACATTTCTGGATTTAATACAGTAGTAAATGTTGGCTTTAATTTAACACGAACTCCGTGACTTCTTCATCTGCTGGT